CAGCTTCCAGAGTTTGAGTATGACGACATCGAAGGAGTTGTTATATGTTCCATATGTAATCCACCCAATGAACCAAGAGAAGTAAATTTTCTCGGAAGAACCGGCGTATTTATGTATAGTAACGATTCGCAAAAAACATTTGAGAGCGATGAAAAAATGTCAAGACAGTTTCGGAATTTGAAAACTCACTTGTTTGACCACCTTCAAACTCCAACCCACCTCGAGAAACAAAAAGAGATTACAGATGTTGAGACTGGAAAGCAAGAGTTTGAATCAAGAAACAGGAAGGTTGGTATGAGATGTGCCCGTACAAGCTATTTACTTTATAAGACTGCTAGGCCGTATAGTGAGTACGAACAGCTTGTTACTTTAGAAAGTCACAATGGCTGTGATATGGGTAACATCAACCATTCACGTAAGTTCCCTGCTCAAATTTTGCCATTCATCGCAGATGAGACGAAGGCACGTGTTAAAAAATTCTTATGTACACCTCTTGTACAGACTGGTTTTCTTCCTCCTGTTAAAGTTATTGCTGACAAGGATACAAAGAAGCATCGTACAAGACAGGTAGTTCTTTTGGTTACGATTGTACCTGATGCCGCAGAGTTGATACAGTACATCTATCTTGACCATCCGATTGTAAAGAAACACACTGGGAAGGACGTTGCTGCATCAATAACAAATGTTCTTCAAAACTATATTGTTGCTGGACAGTTTGAAGGTGGTGGATTTGATGGTCAGTATTTTCATCTTGGCGTTCCAAAATATGTCAACGCACATTATGAGATTGACTATTCAGATACGTACTATGACTGGGACGTTCTTCATTGCTGTGGCCTTGTTGACACTCGTCTTCGAAAACTTGAGCAGTTCCAGTGGCTTTCCAACATCACCAACACTGTTTCCTCTATTTTCAAATTGTTCAACTGGGGGAAAGGTTACGAGGAGCTAGTTGAAGCATGTGATCGTTTGAAATTAGCTATACAGAATCCACAGTTCTTTTGTGAAACGAGGTTTGCCAATTCTGTACGGAAAGTCTATGGAAACTTTTTGGCTGATCTATCAGCCATCATTGCCTGCCTGGAGAATACGAAATTTGAGATGCATGACGGTGATGCGAGCGCAAGAGAGAAGGCCCAGCAAGCGGAGCAGTATCAAGTGAAAATCCAGAACAAGAGTTTTTGTCTGCTTCTTTCTGGATTGGCGGATATCTATGAACAATATGGGGTCTTGGTCTCAGAAGTTCAAAAAGTGAACCTACTACCATTTCAGCGATTTGACAAGTTTACAGATCACATGGAGAAAATGAAGAAAATGGTCAAGTGCCTTTCAGATCACAACAACTGCGGGAAGGACAAATGCTTCTGGCCACATTATCACAAGAACAAACCAGGCATTCTTAACGGCCAGTTTGTTGGCACTCAGATTATAGAGGATCACGAAGAACAGCATGTTCATAACACGAGGAGAGCCCGGCAACAAGAAGCAGATAATGCCACCACAAGCCCCGTCATGGCCGCGGAAAGGAAACTCGCTGACTTGACAACCCAACTTGTGAAAGGTTTCAGGGAAGACGTTTATAGCGAAGATGCCTTGGAAATGGTTGAAAGTACAAGATTTTTGACTGATCTGAAATCCTTAGCCATGCAGATTCGAGAGAAAGGACATATTTTATTAGGTGTTCTTAATGCCGACAAGTTTGTTCGAATCGCCAAGAAAATCTCGCGAAACGTCCGCGTTGTGAATAACCAAGAGATAGTTCGACAATACAAGATTTTCGTACGAAGACTGGCATCAAAAACAGAAGCAATAGCAATACCAGAGTTGCAAAAGATGGATAGCAAGGATTTAATAAAAAAATTCCTGACCAGTGGCGGTGAACTATACGTTGGTTGTGAGATGGTAGTTGAAGCAATAGTTGTTGCAGCAATCAAAATGACTGTTGAGTCTATTGCTGAATCAGTTATTTCGCGCTACAATACGCACAACAGTAAACTAAGAAGTATGTCCGAGGAAGCTGTGAACAATGAGCTGTGGATTGCCTGCAACGGCCCAGAGCTTGGTGGTGCTGATCGCATCTTATCTTCAGCCTTGTCAAAGTATTTCAGGCATGGAAACTGGCATTTTGTAACAAGAAAAGGAGAGCAGAGTAAACTTTATAACAGCAAAGTTATAAACAGAATCATCTCACAAGAATCGAGATTGCCCTTCGTTACACAATAGGGTGCATGTTAAGCAAATATCTACTTCACTGTGCTATGTAAAGTTTCTATTGGTTAAACGTATAAGCATTAAGCAGTCGAACTGTTGATGCAATTGTATGATTTAAGCTAGCCTACTCAGTATTATGTGAGTTAATACAGTAGTTCACTTCGACTTTGTAAATAGATTCTATATAGACCACAAAAATATTACTCTTTTTAATCTATTTCAATAATTATGTAACTTTTTCTGGATAAATGATAAGTGATAACATGCGTTTGCTGTGAGCCTGCCCACAAAATAAAACTGCAAAGTGCAAAGAATGATCATTCCTTAGTTAAAACCATAATCACCAATCACGTGTGCATTATACAGGTAGCTACAATTTATAGCGCTATATTTGACATGGTCATAATCTACACACTGCAGGTCTGCAGGAAATTTATAATCTTCTTACTGTGCTCGCAGGAAGAAAATTATTTTTTCCACCCCTGCCGGTAAATACTTTTGTTGAAAAGAGAAATTTCAGAAACTTCAATGAACATGCATATTTGAATGATTTAAATAATCTAAATTGGGAGCAGGTTTGTCTGCATAACGACCCTAATGATATGTGGACTGAATGGTTGAATTTGTTTATGTCTGTGATTGATAAACATGCCCCACTTAAAAAGAAACGTATAGGGAAACGAAAGTCTCCCTGGATTACTTCACATGTAGTTCAGAAAATTCGCGAAAGAGATTATCTAAAAAGGCAATTCGATATTACACGTGACGATGAAATTTGGTTACAATATAAGAAAGCTCGAAATGAAACTAACAACACTATTAGGCAGGCTAAACATAACTACTTTATCACTAATATTGAGGCTGCACGAAAAGATCCAAGGAAAACTTGGAGACTAGTCAACGATCTGAACTCTCGTAAAGTGAGTGATGTAACCAGTGTCAAGAAAGTCAATCTTGACGGTAATGAAATCACTAATGCGGCTGAAATTTCGAATGCCTTTAATTCATATTTCACCTCGATAGGAGAGAAACTTGCGAACAAAATACCTAGCTCGAATGTTAATCCCGTTTCTTATATTCAATCCACACATAGTGTTTTTTCTTTTGAGGAAATTGGTTTGTCCACTGTTTGCTAAAAACGATTAATGCTAACAAAGCGACCGGCCCTGATAAAATCCCAGGTAGATTATTGAAAATAGCCGCTGATATTCTTTCCCCCTCGTTAACCAGAATTTTTAATAGATCGCTTTCTATGGGGATTTATCCGACTGATTGGAAAATGGCAAAAGTCTTACCGTTATTCAAAAATGGCGAAAAATGTGATCTAAGTAATTATCGTCCAATTTCAATTATATCGGCGGTTGCCAAAGTTTTTGGTAGAACCGTTTATGACCAATTTTACTCCTATCTGACAAGTAACAACTTACTGTCGAACTATCAGTCAGGGTTTCGAGCATCATATAGTACCGTTACAGCTTTATTAGAGTCGAGTAATAACTGGTGCGTAAATATTGATAAGGGTTTGCTTAACGTTGTGATTTTCATTGACCTAAAGAAAGCTTTCGATACAATTGATCACGAAATTCTTATACGTAAACTCAAGTGTTATGGTGTGGATGACAATGCGCTATCATGGTTTAATTCCTATTTAATCAATCGAAAACAGAAATGCTACGTAAATGGCAAACTCTCTGGTAGTCGTTCTATCTCCCATGGAGTTCCGCAAGGCTCTATTATAGGCCCACTTCTGTTTTTGATCTATATCAATGACTTGCCTAACTGCTTGAACGAGGGTTTACCTAGAATGTATGCTGATGATACGAACATCAGCATGCAAAGTAATAATCTTTCTGAGCTAGAAAATCTTATGAATGCTGAAATAGCCAATTTAAACACATGGCTAGAGGCAAATAAGTTAAGTTTAAATATTGCCAAGACTGAATTTATGATTATTGGATCTCGTCAAAGACTTTCAACCTTTGATAATCAGAATGTGGAAGTATGTGTTAACAATAAACAGATTAATAGAGTGCTGAAGTCTAAGTCATTAGGTTTAACAATTGATGAGAACTTGACTTGGAAATATCATGTTGATAATATCACCAAAAAAGTCTCTTCGGGTATCGGTGCTCTCAAACGAATGAGAGATTTTATTACCACAGAAACTGCAATTCGAGTTTACCAAAGTTTGGTGGAGCCCTATTTTTCCTATTGTGCCCCTGTTTGGGATGGCCTAGGTAAAAAGCAAAGCGAAAAATTACAAAAATTACAGAATAGGGCCGCCCGTGTTATTACCCGTTCATCTTATGATATTTCATCAAGTTCTCTTCTTGAAGAACTTAATTGGGAATCATTGTCCACTAAGCGATTAAAGCAAAAGGCAATCCTCATGTTTAATACTATTAATAAACATACACCATTCTATTTACAAGAGATGTTTTCTCCCAGTGAGAGTGTTTATAACCTGAGAGATTCTTATGGTAAACTTTATGTCCCAAAACCACGCACAGATTATTTGAAACGCTCCTTCAGTTACAGTGGAGCCTCTTTATGGAATGGCCTGCCAGAATCTCTTAGATCAGTAACCTCTCTCGCTGCATTTAAGACAGGTTTAGAAGCCTTCTTAATAAATAATCGATCTGACTCCCACACGGCAATCAGGTAGAACAGTATCTATATTTCTTTTTGCTCCTTTTAAAATATTTTAATATTTTTGTAAATAACTATACTGATGATTTTCCGTGTTTAAATAAAGTTGATGTATGTATGTATGTATGTATCTTTAATGTGTGAATATTTTTAATTTTGTAAAAAATTAAGCGCAATATATTGTTGGAAAAAGTATCGAGTGCTTCATAATAACGCTCAGATCTTGTATACAGATATTCGCATTTTATTCAAAATCTACCATTTATCACCAGTTTTTTTATTCTTTTATGTTAAAGTATACATAATCCTTGACTTGATAACACGATGATCTACTCGATGAAAATTGGGCAAAGGGGCGATCTTTGCAGAGAAACTTGACCGTTCGGTGAAATCGGTAGTTCAGAGACCCTATTTTAATTGTAGTATTTCGTGACAATTTGTTGGCCGATTTCTAGTTTATATTGTAGAACGGGTCCTAGTGAATTAAATTAATTGTCTATCTTCTAACGAGTAGTAATAAGCGCGATTCCTTTTTGGTGATGGATGTTGAAATCATTTTAGACTTTTCTTCATATACAACAAGTACACTACCGAGTACTGAATCACTGTTTGCAAAGAAACTAGCCTATATCACCTCCATAATTCCAGCTTATTTTTAAAGTCAAATAGTTTCTCCATGGAGAAAAGTAGTTTTTATGAAGTCAAAAATAGGGCAAGTACGAATTTAAAGAAGGTCAAGTTGCACTTGTATATCTCACTTCGAAAAAGATAAACATATAAAACAGGTATATTTGTACGGCGAAATTAAACTGCTGCAACAAAGTTTTTATTTCTACTTTCACGTTCTTATTCCAAAGCAAACACTTCTAAGTCGGAAATGCCTAAAATTGTGAGCGTAGAAACACTAAAGAAACAAGAAAACGACTTCGTAACACGAGTAGTTTTGGCAAATTTGGTGTTTGTTTTTAGAATTCAGTCACGCGATCAACCCGCGCTCACGTGCACTCCACGCTTACGTTTCTCGCGCATGCGTAGACGGAAGTCCCCTCTGTTGGGAACAGGAACAGAGGGGACGTTTGTCTACGCATGCGCGAGAAACGTAAGCGTGGAGTGGAGTGCACGTGAGCGTGGATTAATCGCGTGACTGCATGAATTCTAAAAACAAACACCAAATTTGCCAAAAGTACTCGTGTTATGAAGTCGTTTTCTTGTTTCTTTAGTGTTTCTACGCTCACAATTTTAGGCATTTCCTACTAATTAGAAGTGTTTGCTTTGGAATAAGAACGTGAAAGTAGAAATAAAATCTTTGTTGCAGCAGTTTAATTTCGCAGTACAAATATACCTGTTTTATATGTATATCTTTTTCGAAGACGAAGTAAGATATACAAGTGCAACTTGACTTTCTTTAAATTCGTACTTGCCTTATTTTTGACTCCATAAAAACTACTTTTATCCATGGAGAAACTATTTGACTTTAAAAATAAGCTTGAATTATAGTGGTGATATAGGCTAATTTCTTTGCGAACAGTGATTCAGTACTCGCTAGTGTACTTGTTGTATATGAACAAAAGTCTAACATGGGTTCAACATCCATCAACAAAAAGGAGCTTATTAATTACTACTGTTTAGAAGATAGACAATTAATTTAATTCACTAGGAACCCGTTCTACAATATAAACTAGAAATCGGCCATCAAATTGTCACGAAATACTGCAATGAAAATAGGGTCTCTGAACTACCGATTACAACGAACGGTCAAGTTTCTCTGCAAAGATCGACCCTTTGCCCAATTTTTATCGAGTAGATCATCGTGTTATCAAGTCAAGGATTATGTATACTTTAGCATAAAAGAGTAAAAAAACTGGTGATAAAGGGTAGATTTTGAATAAAATACGAATATCTGTATACAAGATGTGAGCGTTATTATGAAGCACTCGATACTTTCTCCAACACATTAAAGATATGAAAATGTAGCTTGCATTACAAAGAAATGTTGGCTTACCTAAGTTATACCTTACACGTCGATTAAAGCCAAGTAAAGCCCTTTCAAAGACGCGTGCCACATTAAACTACAGGTCACATGGCGGTAGAGAACTCGACGAAGTATTCAGGATATTTCATAGCCAGTTTAAACGCCGCTGTGTACTATTCCCGTGAATTATGATGCCTAACACCCGGTAACAAAATTTACCACTTTGTTCGGCTGTTCCAAGTACACTTTTAAGATACAAGGTCCGATCATATCATGTTCTTCGAAGCATCTGCTCAAAACAGTCCAACGTAAATATCGCCACTCGATCATCTTCTTCGTATGAAAATATAAGTTTTCCTTTCAATTGCAGGCCTGCTCTGGGACCTTAACT